TTTGATAGGTGGCTGCTAAAAATGCAGAAATAAAGCCACTAAGCATGTTAGATATAGGAAAAGAAAAGAAAAGGAAAATGAAATTTTAGTGAAATTTTTTCTCCTAAAGTGGGGAACAAAGGAAAGAAAAGAACAATATGCTATTCCTAATTTTCGTGTTCATATAATTAACAAGCAATCAAGAGAATTAAAATATTTCATATTTTAATAAAAGAAACCAACTGTGAGGAAAAATTGCAAATATGGGCAAAAAAATAGGTGTTGATGTGACAAGTAGCAAGAGATTTGGTGTAAAGTAGTCAGAAAAATGCATAAGTGGAAAAACATATTTCAAAGATCTTCCGTAGAAAATATAGCAGAAATATAAACAACAGAAATAGTTACAGAAGACAGATTCAGTCAGATATAAAATTACGAGAAAATATGAAGAAATAAGCAGTAAAAACATAAACGAACAATAAAATCAACTATTATCTTTCCATCTCTCCAATTTTTTTTTATTTCACTTTTTTATTTCGCTAATTCCTGCAGCCATTACCACTTACTTGTGTGTTTTATCAAGGCCAGAAGTAAACTGGTAGTATCGAATCCTATGGAAAAACTCATCTAAATCCAAAAATCTTAAGACTCTGCTAAGGCAGATTACAATCTGATAGACGGCGCTCAAGATCTAAGATTCATATCACAGAGATCATTTCTCATCCTCTCATCCTTTGTTTTTTTTTTTGTTTTTTTTTTTTATTGTAAAGAAAATAACTAGGAGTCGGTTAAGTTTAAATTAATTTACGATTTAAAATAATGAATAGAAGTCCTTGATCATTTATAACAAATCCTGTAGAAATATTGCAGAAGTTGTTTTAAAAGTGACGAAAATACTTTTTTGTTTATGCAACTTTTAGGAAAGAAGTTTTGAAGTGATCAATATTATTCAGAACTAAAACGATCATCCTCATGTTACAGCAGTGTCAAGCCTATGTATCATTTTCATTTTCAGTTGGAATAGATCGTTAATTTCTTAATGCGGCCCACCTGAAAACTAGTTTTTCTCTCTTTCTTTTTTCTGTTCGGTGTTATTTGATCACATCTGATAACATACATAATCAATGACAACGCCATGTCTACTCAATTATCACAATGATAATGCGTGGCCAGCAGGGAAAATCAATGTGTTTCCGTTTGCAATTATTGCTTACTGCAATCATTTGGAATATTTTATAGTTTTAAAACAGTCAATCAATAACTTCTGGTGAATTCATTTAATGAATCAAAATTTATATCGCAGTGCGCATAAACTATTCCAGCAAACAAAATATGTTTAATCATTCGGTCTCTCATTGAGACTGTTCGGAATAGTTCACATTGCTGTAACATGAAATATCTTCTCCATGTGTTAGTTAATGTGCCAAATATATCAGGTAGTGATAGTTTAGTCATTGGCTGATAAATAAATGGTCGAAAAGAATGGGTCCCTTTGATGGCTGAACGCTATTTTGTGGAATTTGATTGCAAATAATTCATTTATCGGTACTCCTTTACAAATTGGAATTGTTCAAAAATAGGACTTTATATTGGCAAATAATTGAATGATTCCTTAAATTAGTTTCAAATTCAACTTGTCAAGGTACAATAGGAGGTAGGAATTGAAATAGGAACTTAACTGAATCAAATCGATTATGTCGTTACTTGGGAAAATCTCATTATGAAGAAGTTATAAACAGAATGCCTTGAACCGTTTCTAGGGAATATCAATGTGTTTCCGTTTGCAACCATTGCTTACTGCAATAGTTGCATTTATTCACATTCTTAGAAGATAAGTTATTCAATTTTAACTGTGTTCATTAGCGTTTTATTGTGTATGTGTGTGTGTGTGTGTGTGTGTGTGTGTGTGTGTGTGTGTGTGTGTGTGTGTGTGTGTGTGTGTGTGTGTGTGTGTGTATGTGTATATGCGTTATATATGTATGTATGCGTATGTGTGCGTGTGTTACTTAAGGATTTAACCGCTCGCTTAATTTTACAATTGGTTTTGCAGTTACGATGTAATTTGCGCTTTCTTCGCTCTCAATTATTCATTAACTACTGAAACTGAAACAAGGTGTTGATTAGAAATTACAGGAAGTGATAACAAGTCGAGAATGGTTTCCCTTTTGTCTTTCTCTCTCTTTTTAGTCAAAAGAGAACCAAAAGTTTACTTTTCCCAATCAAACTGTGTTTTAGAATCTACCGGGGTAAGTTCAAGCCTATTTATTCACATCGAATGAAACCTCAATGAAGCATCGGATGAAATATAGCAACACAGGAAGAATTAGCCTTTGCTAATTCTTGATCGATGTAGCAGCAGTAGCAGAGTTATCGTCAACAAGAGGAAGGCGAAGGGATTGTCAGACAAGGGGATCAGTCGAGCGCATTCCTTTACGGTTATGACTTCACCACACATCTTGCAAACGATTCATCCTGCTCGTGTTTATGGCGGCTTTAGACTGTACCATTTACGCCTGCCTCAGCACAACGGGATACTACTACAAATAGTCATGTGATAACCATCGATTTTGTCATATTTTTTATTCTCCTTCTCTTCCTTTCTCTCTCTTTCATGCTCCTTCTCCCTGTTTCTCTTTCTGCTACACTCTTTTATCACATTTTTGACGAGGAAAAGTTCATCAAAACAAGTGTGTATATGAGATGACAGGTGAACTAACCAGTAATGTACAGTATTGTTAGATAAGGGAAGAGCTGGAAGGTCAAAGGTCAAATGAAGGTGAGAGTTCCAATGCTTTTGAATGACCCAACTTGCCATATGTTTCATTTAGTATTTCCCCTTCTGGTCTGTCTCCTTCCTTCTCTCTGTCCGTTTCTCTGCTTCTTACTGGTATAACCGATCAAGTCAGGTTCATTAGAAAATTCGTAACATTAAACAAATATATTTCCATAAAAGAGGTTTTGAAATCTCTCCTCTCTCTCATCACTTCCGATTTGTTGTTTTATCATATAGAATCTGTAGAAATATAGAATCTGTAGAAAAACTCTTCAAGGTTATTTATTTCAGAAACAGTGTAGCAAATGGTGATAAAAGACAGCAGAAATCGGGAAATCTGGATCGTTTGGATGCTTTATATTGCCACTGGGAAAGTCTGGATCTAAATTTTGAAAAACAAGCGGAAAATTTCGAAAAACGGTTGAAAGAGGAAAGGGATCGAACAGACGCCGAAATGCGAAACGTGGCAGTTACGTAAGTATTACTATTTCAAATCATTCATACTGAAATTTCTATTTCTCTCTCTCTCTCTCCTTGTCTTTCCCTCTCCCCTAGTAATCCATAGTTCAAAAATCTCTTTTAAATAATTCATGCATATTTATTAATTCTTCGCTGCGATCAGTTACTGAAAATGATTATTATGATTAATTATTTCTATAAATTGAAGATGAACGGGTTGTCAGCTCGCTTATTTCAATTTTTTTTTTTTTTTCACATCGAAGCATTAAATTTTTGAACCAATTAAGTGATGAAATGGTTCTCACTATATGCTACAGAATAGTGGAATCACTTATTGCTCTTTTGGCGATATAGTTGACGATTATGCATTAGATGGGATCATTTTTGAAGAAATTGTTTCCGTTAATTTTCCAAAAATTGGCGATATAAGGAAGTGAAAAGAGCTTCGCTGGTCAAAAAGTTGTTAGACTGTAAATGTGTAATACTAGGTGTAATTTCATCATTTTAATTAAGATTGTTTAACTTATTAATGTTGCTGTTATTAATATTATTGTTGATTTTATAATTAGTTTTATTATTGTCTTCATTACTGTCATTATTACCATTACGATTTTACTATTTTTCTCATTACTACTAATGTGATAACACTGTTTCCAAAGTACTAGAGATGAGCTTTCTGATTGGAGGAAGAGAAGGAGTATAAATCTTAAGAATTTTATTTTAATTTTGGTTTTCACTTACCTCATTTACTTTGCCATGCATTTTTTGAAGAGGGTTAAACGAATCCCTTTGTGATAGATTCAATTCCTCCTGATTTTTTTAATTCAATTTCATTTCCGTGAATAAATTTGTTGACCATACTAGCAACTTTTCCCGTCCAAAAGGAAAAGATTAGGTGGTGAAAAATGCGATGAATGTAGGTGATCTGGGTAAAATGTTCTGTTGATTCATGAAAAATATTTTGAATTATTTTGTGGCTAACATCTCACAATTAATATTTGTTTGATTTTGCTTAGGTGAGGATATCGTGTCTTGTGATGAGAGACTGTTTCTGAAGCTAGCTAGAATCTTTGATCAATGAAAACAGGAAGCAATGCAAACCTCTCTCGATCTTAAAATGGATAGTGTTATTCAGAACCTTCGATCAAAAACTGCCGATAATTTTAAGGTTGGATTTTATAGTTCTGTTAAATTTGTAAAACATCTGGGCTTTTGATAAAAAAAAAGAAAAATTTTTTTCGAATTGGCATTTAAACTCGTTTTATAAATTTTCAAGCTTTCATAAAACCAGTGAATAATATTTATCTCAACAACAGCAAACTATGGATTTACGTTGTTTGTGATGAGGCATTGGCATTGGTCGTGGAGGTTTGCGGGATCCACGTGGACGTGATCGAGATCGTGAACGCAATGGTAATCAAGGATTACAACAACAACAGCTTCATAATAATAGTGGTAGGCGTTATTGTAGCGATAATCGTAATCGCATGCTTCGTTATAGAGATTATGATGATGATCGTCGATCTCGGCGTTACGAACCACCGCACGATGATTTTAATCGGAGATAAAGTGTTTTATTTTTTTATATTTTGAAACATTTAAAAATGTGAAAACTTCTGCCAATAATTGGAATCTTTAACTGATTTAAAGCGGTTGTAATTTTGCAGTGTATTTATTCTTCCTGATATGTTTTGAGCAATTGCAGATGAGTTCATCGTTTTGTATTTGTTTGAATGTAAAAGTTATTCGGTTCTCTTCGGTGGGTTTTGTGCTACAAAAAATGAGAATTTTAAATTGGCGCTGCGCTTCGCCAAGTTGGCACAATACCATGTTTGACATCTATTTCACAATATCTCTGTACCGATTTAAAATTTGCAGAAAATTTTGTTGGCTGAAAGAAGGGAAATATACTTTTAATAAGTATATACTCCTTTAAATAATGTAGGAATCTCCTGGCAATAGCATAAATGATAATTCCAGCACATTCATATATTGCTGTAATTATTACAAGCCTAGTATTTGACGAGAGTAGAACTGTATCATTACTAACAGTAACTATTTCATCCTTGATCAAGTAATAGTAGTTGTTATCCAGTGAAAGTTTATTGAAGAATGCCGATTTTCCCGGTAGCATTGCACGCATTGCGATTACGGATTCCACATTATACAACGCATTGCATGATTCGTTAGGACAACGTGGTAGAGAACCTTAATTCTCGTCTTTGTGAAGAGGAAGTTTGTAAAATCATTTCGAAAAAAAAACTATTATAGTGATGCGTGTAGTAATTATGGAGTTGTCCAAAGTTCACATAAAAAATGGCACGATTAACCAGCAGATTCACAGTTATCGATCATCTTCTCCAGGCAGTGAATGCACATAGCGTGTTCGCATTCATCTTTTGACGGGAATCCATTAATTGGCAAGTTTTTACATTTGACTTCAGCTTAGCATCGAGCTATCTGATAGGTATATATCGCATTGAATTAACTACTCTTTTTTTAAAAAAGAGAGGCTAGCAGTTACTCAAATTTCGTTTTTAGAATTTTGTTTTTACAGTAATCAGTTTGTTTTAAACTATCAGTATTTTTGATAATCTGATCTTTCTTGAGAATAGATAATTTCTTAATTTATCGACAATTTCAGTCATGGTAATTAATAAGAAGGAGCAAATATTTCGATTCAATTCCACTAACGTCAGCATGTCTAAGGCATTCAGTAGAAGGACACCTTTCTTCAACATCTGAAAAGGATATTTTATTTCGTTTCAAAAAACATTTTCCGGAAAACACAGTGAATTTTAAATTTAAAAGGTCTACTTCTTTTTATAACAGTAAGACTGCACGTCATAAAAGCTCCTTAAAACACTAAAAATGAATCAATAAATTTGTGAAGTATTGCATATCCTCAATAATTGAAATCTTGTTAAGATTCTTCAAAACAAGCAACTTGGAATGATCAAAATCTTCAAAGTGGAAGTGTTTCTTCTAAAAATTTGATTGCTAATACATAAATAAGTATAATCATTTTAACACAGATCCTTTAAATTTTCTTTGTTTGTTTCGAAATCTGATTTATTTTCTTGCTGAAATAGCATGTTTGTTAATTAATTAATTTTTCGCCACTTTTAAAAAGAAGGTTAAAGTGGAAGGAATAATAGAAGCGTACTAGTTGCATTTACTGCTTACAGAACTTCAATAATATTTTTTCTTTAATGTCATTTATTCAAAGATTTAAAAAGTAAATGTGCGACAATGCCTTTGGTAACTGACTGACAAAATGACAATACCGAAAGATTGAAAGTATCATCACTGATTCGCATTTTAGTTGAAATAAATGTGTGATAATAACAGGGTACATTTTTTATATTTATTGTAATTACTTCTCATAAATATAACTGAACGTAGCTCAGTAGTTCGGTCACTATTTTAATATCATAAGTTCATGCTTCAACAACTTTCTGCAACTTTCTCTTCAAATTATATTACATTCAGTCATACTGCTAAACCAAGTTTCTGTTTTGAAAAAAAAGCAGCTTTAGGAGGGAAGCTGAAATTGGCATAATTATCATTCATGAATAGAGTATTATTTCTCTGCTAAAAATAAATAATCGAATTCCAATTTTTTGAGACTGGAATGCAGCATTTTTCCTTTAACAAGGAGAACTGAACATTTACTTCGAGCAAAAACTTCAACCGAAGATGTAGGAACTTTGGGAAAAAGTTTGTTGATCTGTAAACTTCAAGAAAAATAACGATTAAAATTCAGTGATGTTATCAACATATATTTTTCATGCACTAGATTTCGCTCGTGTTTGGTTCTCCATTGTTTTAATTTTTCACTTCAAATAAGCAAAGCTACTCTCATTTGGGAAAAATCAAAAAAACAAGCTTTACGTATTTTGAAAAGACTTACACTTCGCTAGAGGCTTTTGAATGTAGATAAAGATTTCTTCTTTTCCATATGAACATACAAACAATTAGAACTTTCTTACAGATTACTGCATAGAATTGTTTTGTAACTCTAGAATTTCCATAAATTATTGATCAAGATTTATTGTATCTGTCTGAGTCCATTAGTTATGGTCAAAATCTTGAAATGACAAAGGCAAAATTTAATTAACTGAAAGCTGAAGTCTAACGAGATCTTTAAGTATTGAAGAGCCTTAGAAATGGATATATGGATACTAATATAATTTGAAATTCAGAAGTTGGAATCTGATCGGTAAATTCCTTCCGGACAATCTTTAAATATTTTGTCATAAAAATTTTTACGTCAATATTAAAAATCTCAAAAAATTTTGACCTCGCTGCTCAATAACTTCAGCAAAATATCTGATTATTGCATAGAACTGTTTTGCAAAGAGCAACTACTAGCAGTACAACAGATTGGGTCAGGTCAGTATCAAAAATCCTAGAAAAGTAAAGAAATTTGCATTAAGCATTTTCATTTTTGGTTGAGTTAAGCTAAAGATTAGTATGAAATAGAATAGAAGAAAAGGACCTCAAAGTGATATAAATGTTTTCTTAAAGAATATCTGAATATCGAATTTTGTGTTACGGTATGGATGCATTCGAACTATCGATCTTCCTTCTGTAAACAAATTAGCGACAACAGCTGTCACATTATCAGACCACACAATGACTTTAAAAAAGACAGCTTCTAGGTCTGAAAAAAGACACGAAATGAAACAAAATATTTGTGCTTAGCAGAACTTTGCTGTTTATCAGTCAACAATATTACGTTTTGTAATCGCATATTTCATGTTTATTGATGACTTGACGACACTTTTTTCAAGTCCTTCACTAATTTAAAATTTTTAAAATAATAAAAAAGTACTTTCACATACTTCTCTTTCTTTTTTACACTCGAATAATTTCTATTACAATTTTTCGTAATTAGAAAAATATTTTGATAGTAAAAATGACTTCATTACTTGGCACGGACTCATCTACACTATGATTCTTGAATTTGTTTATTTGTTAATTTCAGTTAATCTTAAAGATTACAAAAAAGAAGTCTTTCAAGAAGTTTTTTCAAATTGAAGACTTAGAAAACCCAATAAATTTTTTTTTTTTTTTTTGTTTTTGGATCTTCGAATTTTCTATCCGTTCTGATTATTTCCTGATCAAGAATTTTCTGATTAACAACCATGATAGAAACCCCAACTTTTTCTCAGAAAAAGGTTTACTTTTAGCCCTTACTAATGTTACAATAAAATAAGTGTGATTTCAATGCAAATCCATTGAAATTGAAGTTTAGAAATTAAATGTCAATGAGAAATGAATTTGCATCCATCTTTTAAAATTACTATATATTTGCATCAAAATTTTTATGTTATATGAAATCTCTTAGTTTTTTTTTTTGACATAAGAATCCAGAAGCAAAAAAAAAAAAAAAATTGTATTGAGTTTTTTAAGCATACATCCGAAAATTGTTGAAAGCATATTGAATCAAATGCGACAATTTTTGCAATCGGCGCAAAATAAGTTATCCAACATGGAATTTAACTTTGTGAACTCAATCAAATAAATGAGTCCCAAAAAAGCAGAGATTTAATGATTTACGACTCACTGTTTGTTCAAAAAAATTTTGATTCAGAGACTTGATGCCTTTTTTTATATTCTGACCTATATTCTGACGTAAGGCATTCACAACTTGTTCATTTATAACTTCGAGCACAATAACTCTCGGACCAGTTAGTCTGCAGCTAGACGAACACTAATGTGCTGTCTCAATTTCATGAAATTTTGGCTTTATCAGTTAGCTTGGGAATTTTATGGCTTAAAATTAGGCCGAATTGTTAATTGTAATGACAGTCACACATCATCACGATACTGACCGTATTGATTGCTCTTCTAATTTGTTGAGCCAATAGTTGAACGAAATAACTTTGTTTTGTTTCATGCCATGTCTGATTTAACAAATCTTTGTTATTGTGCATGTCAGTTTGTGGCCAATCAATTTTTCAGAGCCTTCACGGATTTCTTCTTCCCTCTTCCACTCCTTTGTATACATTTGTCTTCGCTATGTCCCAGTTTTTTAGAAGCTCTGTTCAAGAATGAATTTTTCGTCTTTCCATTCTGGTCAAAAAAATAATTTAAATGGATAGCTTAAAATAGACAACTAATCCTCGACATTTTTCCTATTTTCAACGTTTTTCCATTATTTTTCAATTTCCTTTATAAAAATAGCTCAGTTCGTCAAAGTAAGTTTTTGGAAATTTTCTGGTTATATAAAAATTTTTTTAAAAATTTGAATACTTAAAACCATTGAATTTTGAATTGAGAGAGAATGATACTTTATTCGTCACAGTTAAATTTAATCCTACTACTATTGATCCTATCACATCTATTGTCGGCACTATCTCAAGCAGAAATTTTAGTGTATTAGCATTCAATCCAAAATCTAAGAATAGAAAGTTAGTCTTGAAACTGTCTTAAAATTTCAGATCGTGTATTAGCAGATTGTGATCTGCAAGGTTAAAACTATTAGCAATGGTAATGTGGAATGACTGACCATTTTGCTGCTAGTTTCAGTCTTTCAAATCTTTACTCATCAATATATGGCTGAAAAATTAAACTCCAGTAACTGTTCAGGATTTGTACATTAAAAACTTCATTTCATGTTTCAGGATTTCAACTTTTTCATGATAATAGAAATATAAAGGATCTTTTATATAAATTCCATTTTTCTTTTGCTCTGACTTTTTTTGTCCAAAATTCGAAATCATTGCTACAAATTATAATCTGGCAACTGATAAATCATTAAAATTTTCTATAGATCACTGAATCTCGTGAAATTCGACTTTGTTATGCAAATTGATGTCTTCACTTGCTAATCGACGTAATATCGCAGATTATGTATCTTATTTTTTTAATCACTGCTTGCATTGCTAATACGGGTAATTTTGCATGATTTAATCACATCCTAGTAATATTGAAATCAAAAATTCCAATATATTAATTAGTGTGTTTGGAATTGCTAACAATAAAGGACAGATTTTGACATTGTGACAGGAATGAGACTACGGGCGCAAAGCTGTAAACTTTTAAAGCAATTATAATATAAATTTGTTGTACAGTCTGATTGAAACAAGGCTCTCACAGCTTCTACTTTCAAAATTCTTTATTTAGAGACTTGTTTCCAGAACCTCCCGAACTGCAGGCTGTTCATTCCTGCTTATTTTTCTAATTTAGGTGCTAATCTGATTTTGTATTCTGTAAATTTGAATTTTAAAGCAATATTCAAATCTACTCAAATTCTTCCACTGTTTGAAGTGTAGTAGGAGGAAAAGAAATACGTGATGACAATGACGACAATCAAGTTACCGATGAGCAACGTCTTTTACGTCATCTATTCGGACAGTACGAGAAAGCAG